GCACCTACTTCACTTTTGAATATTCTTATTGCAGATGTGCATGGTTTTGACCATTGCGCAAGGGGGGAAGTGATAAGGAAAATTAAACAACAAGGATATTGGTCTCCTTATTTATATGCAATGGTTGATGAATTGTTGTCCACATGTGAAGTTTGTGCCAAATACAATGTAAGGAAAGGGATAGCGACACCAATACGCCATATACCAGTACCAGAAAGGCCCTTTAAGCATTTGGTAATGGACTATGTGGATAAGATAAAGTGAGTACAAGGAAAAAGATACATGCTTGTGATCGTAGACAGATTTAGCAGATGGGTGGAGGCAGTACCATCAGCAGATCTGGGAGCAGGAACAGTAATTACATTTCGAACAAGAGAAGTAATTCCTAGATTTGGAATACCATCAGAAATAAGTTCTGATAATGGGTCGGCATTTATACAAAAAAATGAAAAACAAGTATTGCAACAATTAAGAATAAAACAGGCACAAGGGTGCGTCAAGGGTGCGTCTTAATGGAACTATCAAGGCCAAAATTAACAAAATATGTGAAAGTACTAAACTTAATTGGATTGATGCATTACCTCTTGCACTAATGAGCTATCACATGCAAACTAACAGGAACACGCACTTAACACCGCATGAAATGCTTACGGGTCGACCCATACATGTGCTATATGGTAGAGGTTCCTACAAAGGACTGCCTCTAGAGCAATTACAAATGGAAATTTGCTCAGATATAAAGAAATTAACTGCCATACATAGAGCTATCTATTTACAGGAAAAAGGAAAAAATGGAATGAACCAAGGAGAAAGGGACCCTATGAAGTGATGAGAGCTACTCCAGCAGCAGTCAAAGTGCAGGGAAACACAACCTGGCATCATCTGGACCACTGTACTAAAGTTCCCATGGAAAAGACGGAAAGAAAAGAAATGTTTTGAATGTGTTTTTATGTTTTTTATACATAACTGTGACAACCACAAGCAAGTGCTGAACCAATTGCACGCTCATGCTTATAACATTGTTTTCTATTGAAGTAAGAAATTATGGAGACTGGACTTTTTCTCCCTCCTAGTCAAGGGTGGGGGGAGAGGTTTGGTACTGATGCTCCAAACCAGAGTGATGCTGCATTATTTAGTCATGGATAATAAAACAGAGTGACTTATTTAGTCACTAGGTAGTGTTAACTAAGACGACTAAATTATGAAGTAGCACTCTGGGTAAAAATAAGCAAATGTGAGACTTACTAAGTCTCAAAGGGGGGAATGTTGTAGATTTTTTTTGGTTAAAATATGAATTGTTCGAGTGTAATCATTATGAATATAACCATTTAAATACCCAGTTATTCTTCCATTATAATCACATATTCCTGTGTGGAAAATGCCTACGTGGCTAAAGTAGACAGGCCCTAAGATTAGAAACATCTGGGAAACATAAGTGGGGGCCTTCTTTCTTTACCATAACAAGAACCCCTTCTGTCTAGGGAGAATTGTATGCACAAAGGAACCATTCTATGTACGGAAAACTGTATGGAATATATACCCCACGCCTTAAAATCCAACCTGTATAAAAGGGGAGACAGAAAGACATTCTGGAGATTTTTTTCTGCAGAGAAGCTTCTCCTCTTTATAATAAAGAGTGTATTCTGGCATCAAAACTCAAGACTGAGTGTGGTTTCTCAGACGAGCGGCAGACTACACTACACATCCTGCCTAGACTTTGCCCCTGGGCTGGTCAAAGCTATTTTGCATCCTCACCCTAATTATCTTCCGAAAGTTCCATTCTCAACCATACATCCGGTCGTTCTTGAAGCCTTCTGCCGTCTGCCGTTCACAACACCGGAGCAGGAAAGACTTAATTTACTGTGTCCAGTACGTGCTCTTCAGATTTACATCCACCACACCAGCCAGTAGCGTAAGTCGGAGCAGCTTTTCATATGCTATGGGGGCCACAACTGGGGAGCGGCTGCCACTAAGCAAACTATGTCACATTGGATAAGGGATGCTATTGCCCTAGCCTACGAGGCGTGTGATCAAGCTTCACCTCTAGGAGTTAGGGCCCATTCAACCAGGGGGATTGCATCTTCTACGACTTTAGCAAGAGGTGTTCCCTTGCAGCAAGTGTGTGATGCGGCAGGCTGGTCCTCTCCACACACATTTGTCAGATTCTATAGTTTGGATGTCCATGCTACTCCGGGCTCAAGGGTCCTTGAGTCAACATCCCAGTGTCATATCTGAGACCTCTTCAATGCTTGTGCGCACACACTACACAACCTTGGGGGGGTCCAGACACTTCCAGTACGGTGGCGTTGGTATTCTCGTTCCCATAAGCGTTATTGAACGCAGCATTGAGAGTAGCTTTTGATAGGGAACGTCTTGGGTTACTTGACTGTAACCCTGTTCCCTGAAAAAGCGGGAATGAGATGCTGCGCCTCAATGCCGCACTATAGGCGTGCCCGGACATCCTTTCAGACAAAGGTGAACCTGAGAATGTGTCCGTTTCATGTGTATTTATAACCTCTCAGGTGCATGTAATTAATGACGTCACCTACCGAGGTTATTTAAGCCAATTCTTGGCGTGTTTGACACACATTCTTCACAACCGGTCGAACAAAGAATGTTCTCATAAGCGTTATTGAACGCAGCATCTCGTTCCCGCTTTTTCAGGGAACAGGGTTACAGTCAAGTAACCCGAGACGTTCTTCTCCTGTTGATCTAGCTGCATGTAAATGTACCGTGTGCAACTAAAAACACCCCAGACGTACCAATGCGTGTTTGGTCTGATCCAACCTCGAAGGCCCTGACAAACATTCCCAGAAAGGTCTTCACAGTTTTGAAGTTCAAACGGCTGATACTCGACAATCCATCGACCAGAAACACGATATCAGCGATGGCTGGAGTTTCACATGTGAAGACGACCACTATAGAGACAGACAGATTTTAATATTGGTCAGATATTTGATTCACATCTTGTTTTTTTTGTCCAGCATTTTTTTTTTCATCCAGCATCACAAAATATGCACAAAAATGTATTGATGAAAACCTGGCTACCTGCTGGTTACAAATATAAACATAATATGTGAGATGAAACTATATGAATTATTTATCATTGCTTTGACAAAGAATACCTTCAATGAAATTATCTTTCAAATGACACAAATTCGTTCCTCACTCAGACACAAAACCTAAAAAACTCAATGAACCTACAGGCCAATTTGCTCGTTTACATGCTCTTTACAAAACTGATAAACTCAAATTCAGAATTTAATTGTAACAGGTCGATGCAAGGAAAAGGAGAGGCAGGATACAAGTGCAGGCAGTGATGTGAATTAATAAAATAATAAGTAATCCAAAAACATAAAAAGATAATCCAACACACAGGGAGAACAATGTAAACACAACCACAGAAACATCCAAGCAAAGACAATGACGGACAAAGACTGACTAAAACACTGGGCTATATATACATAGAGACGCTAACAAGAGAACAAGGTAACAAGACACATCTGAGAAGGCAATCAAGGTCATAATATTAACATATTACAAAACTGAATAAGACAGAAATCTGCTACATTTCTACAGTTATCAAAACAATTAATTGTAACCAAACACCTACACAGATTTTAGTCTTTTGATTTCATTACCTTACCATCTGTACAAGAGGAAACTTATGAATAATACTGTACTGTAATGTAAACATGGACCATGTAACATTTAGGTCATTTCTACAGATTTTGAAATGAGCAGGTTTGTTGAAGAAAATGTTAGAAATTAAATTTTATATTGTCTTATCAGAGGGAGAAAATGACTATCAGAAAGCACACTGGTCAAGCTCAGACTAGTATAAGCTAATAATCCTGAGATCTCAGAAACCCACCGCTGAGTTCAGAGACACGCTCGCAGACGCTCCTGGTCAGTCCCTCCACGATGCAGCTCATCACACTGAAACCAGCCGCGATATACACGTGTGTCTCCTCCAGCGGGGAGGCGATGGCTCTCAGCTCGTTCTCATCGGCGTTCTTCACTCCTGCAGATTCACACAGTCAGAAAAAACTATTCATTTACAAACCCGTATCTGAATCAGAGCTGGTTTTGTTCTGGTACCGATCGCAAACAGCTCAATCCCAGCGTCTCTGAGTCTCTGAGCAGGAGAAAGAACATCGTCCTGTGATTGCCCATCTGTGATCAGAATCCCAATCTTAGGAACGTCAGCTCTGGATCCAGATTCATCTGTGAAGCTGTTCTCCAGAATATACGTCAGAGCACGACCTGAAAACACACACACATGTACAAACAGATGCATTACAGTGAGAATCGTTTAGATTTGTGTGTGTGTGTTAGTGTGAGAGAACGTGTTTGTGTGTGTATGTGTACCTGTGAGTGTTGATCCTCCTTTATAAGACAGATTCCTCATGGCATCTATCACACCCTCTTTAGTGCTGTGATTGTTCAGATGCCACTCGAGCCGCGGATCCCCACTGTACTGCACCAAACCTGAACACACAAACACAAACGCAAACACACACACACACACACACACACAAACGCAGTGAATCTAATCCAATACTAAACACTAAATACAGCACAAGCCCAGTGAAACCGCTGTTCTTCTCCTGTTGATCTAGCTGCATGTAAATGTTCCGTGTGTTGGAACTAAAAACACTCCAGACGTACCAATGCGTGTTTGGTCTGATCCAACCTCGAAGGCCCTGACAAACATTCCCAGAAAGTTCCGCATAAAATTAAAGTTATTATGACCAATACTCGACGATCCATCGACCAGAAACACGATATCAGCGATGGCTGGAGTTTCACATGTGAAGACGACCACTATAGAGACAGACAGATTTTAATATTGGTCAGATATTTGATTCACATCTTGGTATTTTTGTCCAGCATTTTTACTCGATATCCCAAAATGCACATGCAATGATGGAAAGCCTTGCTGGTTACATGTGCACAAGTCTAGATTGCAAACGCTGAAATAAAATTATGTGATGAAATTATTAATATACTATTATCAAATGCATGCATAAATGTTGTGAAAATATCTTACAACCCACAAACAAATGCCTTTCAGCTTTTGTCTACAAAATTCAGATTTAAATGAATGAATGAGTTACATTTTATTTATTTTCCGAAGTGCAACAGTATTGCTATCAGTCATACAGTCTTTACTGCATCTAGTGGTTCAGTAGCTGCTTTTCTTAGGCACAATTGTGTGTGAATCAGGGATATTAGTCTGTGGGTTGTGCAAAGCTTAAATACAGGAATAAAAGTCTCAATTCATCTGAATCAAACAGAAGACATCACTGAAAGTACGGCGTGGACCTCAAACTTCTGTATGGATAGTAAGATATATTTGCAATTTTCCAAGGATAACTCTGCATGCATTTGATAATTTGAGCCTAATTTCATATTAAAATATAAGATTCTGTCGAACGTATTTGAGCAACTTGTTACAAACAACAGACAGACAGTCATACCTTGAACTTGTGTGATTAATACTGATGATGTCAGTATCAGGATCAGCAGCACTCGAACCTGCATCCTCTCAGCTGACACACACACACACACACACACACACATGCACATCATAATCTTCAGGTGGCTCACATATTTACATTTACTCATTTAGCAGAAGCTTTTAATGCAACTTACAAATGAAGAACATCATTAATACAAAACAATTCAGTCAGTACACACACAAACTCACACACACACACACACACACACACACACACACTCTCAAGTGTGGAAGATTGTATCTTGGCAATTGGAGAGATTATTGGATATAAGAGCATTTTAGCAGCATCAAGGATGAGTAATGCAGTTGTTTGTTTTTTGAACACTGTAGAAAATGCCAATGATGTGGTGGAAAGAGGAATTGTAATTAGTGGCCTTTTTACACCCGTGCTTCCTCTTTCGACCCCTGCGAAAAAAGTTACTCTGTCAAATATCCCACCTTTCATTAAAGATGAGGCTTTGGTTAAAGAATTGTCACGTTTTGGAAAGTTGGTTGCTCCAGTGAAAAAAATCGCGATCGGAAGCAAATCTGAGTTGATTAAACATGCGGTGTCTTTTAGGAGATTCACATATATGATTTTGAGCGAGAACAGAACAGAACTGAATTTAAATCTGAAACTCAGATTTAATGATTTCGACTACACTGCAAATTTCCTGTAAATTTCTATTTTTCTATGTGATGATTTATATTTTGTAAACTGTGTTTTTGTGAATTTGTAATAGAGCATTTAAATTCAAAAATTAAATTCTCTCTCCCTCTCTCTCTCTCGTGTGCGCATGCGTGGGCGTTTGTTGAGTGAGTGTGAAGAGGTTTCTGTGAGCAAACAGTTGAAACTGTACAAACCATGATTCAGCCGGTGAAGCTCAAATCAGGTCGGATGTGAGATTGCCTAAAGAAATTGTTGCTACAGAATTGATGGAGACCAAGAATAGTTTGATGAACCGCTTGTCCGATATAGAATCTTCATCAGAGAATGTACATTTGTGTGAAGTAGACATGGATCAAGTTGTCTTCAAAACTCCTCTTAAAAGGAAAAAGAAAGACCGAGAAGAAGGATTAAAACAAGCAAGAAAAGAACAAAAGAATGATACAGATAATATTGAAAGTGAAAGTGACTTCTCTGACTCCAGTGCTTCAAGTTGTTCACAAAGTGAATGGAAATGTCATGATTACAGTGCTGATGAAATTAGGAAGTTTTTAAAGGTGACAAAAAATCAGAGGGGAGTACGGATTACTGATTTTTTCCCAGACCTGAAACGGTTTGTGGAAAGCACTAAGAGTCTAATGAGTGAAGGTTGCTTTCTGGATAAAGAAGTATATCGACTGAAAAAATTTGTTTCAAAAATACAAAATCAGCTGAATAATGATGATGACAAAGTGGCATAATTATTTGATTCATTTTGGCTGTGTGTCTCGGTATGGCTTAATTTTTGTTTCCTTTTTTTCTTTACTCATGGCAGATATCCGTATTGCATCTTTAAATGTAAACGGAGCCAGGGATGATGTAAAGAGGATGCAAGTGTATGAAACAATCAAACAGAAACAACTTGATGTTCTTTTATTACAAGAAACACATAGTGATGATAACAATGTTACAGATTGGGTAAAAGAATGGAATGGTTATATATTTTTAAGTCATAAAACTTCATGTAGTGGAGTCGCCGCCATCTTGTTTGCGAAAAAGTTTACTCCAAGCTCTTTTAAAATAGAAGAAATTGTGAAGGGGAGACTTTTGAAAATTCAAGCCTTTTTTGAAAAGTATGTTTTGGTTTTTATTTGTGTGTATGCCCCCACTTTACCAATAGAAAGAATAGCTTTTTTGGATATTTTATGCTCAACGCTAGGCAATTGCAATAGCGATGAATATCTATTTATTGGTGGGGAATTTAATTGTGTTGAACAAAATATTGATCGCAATCATATAGAACCACATATGCCTTCTCGCAAACGGCTTTGCGAATTAATTGAAAGAAATGACCTAAGTGATGTTTGGAGGAATTTAACTGTGAATTCAAGACAATATGCATGGGCGCATGCCCATGACAATCTATTGTCTTTAGCAAGACTAGACAGATTTTATAGTTTCAGACACCATCATAATGTTTTTAAGAGTTGTGTAATAAACCCAGTTGTTTTTTCTGACCACAGTTTGATTATATGCAGTGTTTTTTTTTCAATTCTGTGTCACCAAGGAGTGTGTATTGGCATTTTAACACTGCTCTGTTAAATGATGCTTTTTTTTAAAGAGACGTTTGCATTTTTTTGGGAAAGTTTTAGAAATGAAAAAGTTTCTTTTTCTTCTCTGCAGAGTTGGTGGGATTTTGGCAAGGCTCAAATCAAACTTT